AATTCTTTATTACATTTTGTGATGGATGGTGGTAATGTAAAATAATTTTTTGAAGGTGATTTAATTTTTAATTTACTATAATCTATATTTGTGGCTACAACAACTGAAGGACATCGATTAGCTTGCCATCTAACCCTTTTTAAATACTCCTCACCTGTTAATGGTTCATTATCATCTGGTTCAATTTCCCCATCAACCTCAAATGCTTTTGATTGAAACTCTTCCATTTATATATTTTAACTATTTTTTTTTATTAAAGATTAAAAATTAAAAAAATGAAAAAAAATTAAAAAAAAAAAATTAAAAAAAAAAAATTAAAAAAAAAGTTGGGTTTATTAAAAAATTTAGTTTATTTAATAATTTTCAAAATAAAATTAAATAAAGGAACTTTACAAAAAGCTGAAGTAAATTCGTGAATAGTGTGACCAGCAGAAGCTATTCTACAACCTTGTGGTTTTGAGAAACCCAAATCAGTCCCAACCTCTTCTTCACTACGAATAAAGTTTATAGTTTTATCTTGATTTCCAAAGAAAGATTTGGTAAATTGATTTGATTTACTTGAAATTGAATGAACACTATCGGTTAGAGCAATCCCTGCTAAACGGTTTTCAATTTTTTCTGCTCTATTATCTAAAAGATGACATGTGTTTACACCACCAAAACTATGGGCTACAATTATAATTTTTTTGGCTGGTGATTTTGAAATAAAATGGTCAAAAACATATAATACATGATTTTGGGATGATTCGCTACCTTTAACATATTGACGTTCAACTTTTTTCTTTTTTTTTAATGGTTCATCATTATCATTACTTTTTTCGTTTGATGATGATGATGATTCTTCTATATAATTAAAATTTGGATTTAATACAATAATTGAAAATCCATTATCTTTAGCTTCTTTTAAGTATGGTAAAATTGTACCACTATTTAATGAATCATTAATACATAAACTACGTGCCCATTGTCCTGATTTTACTGCTCCTGAACCTAATAAAATAATAAAAAAATATAAAAAAAAAAAAATTAAAAAAAAAAATGTTAAAAAAAAGGTTATAATAAAAACTTTAAATATTTTTATAATCATTACCATTTATTAAAACCATTAAATTTTCACTATTATCATAAAAATCTTTACTTAAAAATATATTTGATTGGGCAAAATTTTCATTTTCTGTTTCATTTTCGCTTTTTTCTGGAATCCAAATTTCGTTTAAATTGTATGGTTCAGATTTCATCATATCTTGAATAGTTGTAACAATAACATCACCTAATCTATCATAATGCTCTTGATTTACAAATTTAAATTTTTCTTCACCATCAATACTTCTTAGTTGCATTTGGTCATTATAATAATAAGAAAAATCTTTTAATGATTTATAGTTTTTATAATCTATATTATTATTTTTGTCATTTTTATTTTCATTATTATTATTATTATAAAATCTTGAATTTAAATTTTCGGTTAATGATTTTTGAAAAATTAAATTTTCTTCAATATCTTTGTTGTTTTTTTCTTCATCGGTATGTGTAGGTGGTGTTGATGGTGGTGTTATTTCTTTAGTTTCTTTTTCCATTTTTAATTTGGTAATGAGGTGGTCAAATTAAATAATAAAAATAATAAAAATATTATTAAAAAAAATAAAAAAAAATAAAATATTTTAATTTTTTTTTTTTAAATTTTTTTAATTTTTTTTAAATTTTTTTTTAATTTTTTTTTTGTTTTTCAAACTATATATTTATATAATATAAAAAATATTATCGATTATTTTTTTATTAAATTACTTTTACTTTTAATAATTATTTTTAAATTTTTTAAATTATTATAGAATTTTATTATATTATATATATAAAAAAATCTTTTTTATTACATTTTTTTTAATATAATTTATGAATTTAATTATTTAAAATAATTAATAACAATGCTATCTACACAACAGCAACAACAGCAACAACAGCAACAGCAACAGCAACAACAACAACAACAACAACAACAACAACAACAACAACAACAACAACAACAACAAAATAGTAGTAGCAATAATAGTGGAAATAATGTTGTAAATACAGATAATCAACCACAACTACAAACACCAGTATCAACACCATCTCCAGCACCGGCACAAATACAATCACAATTAAATAATTCAAATGGAAATAATTCACCTTCAACACCAGAATCATTAACAATTTTAGTTAATAAATATTTAAATAAAACTTTAAGTGATTGCTCAAAAAAGCAACAATCAATTAAAGATGAAATTAAAGTTATTTTAGAATATTTAAAAGCCAACCCAACTTTATTAACAAATAATGAATCATTTCCAGTGCCATCATCTAGAAATAACCCACAATGGAATAAATTTTTAGAGCATTTAGCGACTATTTTTAAATTTACATTCGAATCTAAAAGTTCAAAATTAATAATTTCTTCTGTTGATTTTATAGAGGTAAGATTTAATTAATAAATAATATATTAAAAATAAAAAAATAAATATTAAATTTTATTATTTTTATTTTTAAAAAAGAAATTAATATCAAGTAATTATATTTTAAGTAGTATGTTGGATGAAAATGGTAAAATGATTATTGATAAATTTGTTGAAGCAACCTTATTTTCATGTGCAGAAATTTCAGATGAAATGACACTAGTTCAAATTACAAAATTTGTTCACACAGCAGCTTCTAAATTTCATAGACAAACATTATTATATTCATTTAAAACTTTATTTTACATTCATGTAAATTCTAAAACTCAATCAAATTTAGCAATTGCATCAAAAACTTCAATTACCCAAATTATAAATAGATTATTTAAAAGTTTTAAATTAAAACCAATTATTAATAATTCAAAAACAAATAATATAAATATTGAAAATAATAATAATAATAATAATAATAAAATTAATAATCAAATTTCACCACCAAATGTATCAATATCTTTAACTGATTTACAATCACCGACACATCAAAAACAAAATAATGAACAAGTTGTATCTAATATTATTGATGATATTGTTACAAAAATTGTAATAAAAGATGATGAACCATCACAATCAAATTTACCAAATATAGCTTCAACTATTTCAAGTCCAATTGTAAAACAACCAATGAATGTAATATCACCGGTTTCAACTGACATTTCCACAACTGCTAATACCACTTCAACTGCTGTTCCATCAACAATAACTCCAATAACTAACAATAATTCTACTATTACACCACCAATTAATACACAAGAATTAGATTTAAATTTAAAAGATTCAATATATTTATTCAGATTACTTTGTGATTTATCATTAAAAGATATTTCAGAGTAAGTTAATAATATTTTATTTTATTTAAAAAAATTTTATTAACAATTTTTATTTTTTTATTTTTAGTTACGATTCACCAGAAGTTAAAGTTAGAATTTTTTCATTAGAATTAATTTCATCAATTTTTGAAGAATATGGTAAATTAATCAAAAGTTATCCAAATATTATAAATTATGAAATTCGAGAAGGTTTATTCCCATCAGTTTTAAATTCCGGTTTTTCAAGCAATAGTACTATTTTTAGATTATCTTTGACATTGTTTTTATTTATGGTTGTACACTATAGAGATTATTTACGTGAACCAATTGGTCAATATTTCTCATTAATTATTTTAAGAGTTTTAGAAAGTTCAAATAGTTCACTTCAACAACGTTGGATGGTACTTCAAGTTTTAGCACGTATTTGTGAAAATCATCAAATTTTAGTTGATCTTTATGTAAACTATGATTGTAATTTATCTTCAAAAGACATTTTTCAAAAGTAAGTTATTTAAAAAATAATATATATATTATTTATTTAAATTTTATTTTATTAATTAATATAATTTTTTTTTTTAAAATTTTAGAACAATTGAAGATTTATCAAAAATTGCTCAATTAGTTATTCAAGAAAATAAAGTTTACGATTTAAAAGTTAAATATTCAGCATTAGAATGTTTAACCTCTTTAGTTAGAGCATTATCAGAAGGAATAAATTTACACAAAGAAAATTTAACAGAAAAATTAAAACAAATTCCAAAAGAAAACAAATTTATAAAACAAAAACAATTCAAATTATTAATTGAAGAGGGTAAAAGAAAATTCAAAATGTCTCCAAAAAGAGGTGTTGAATTTTTTGTTAAAATTGGTGCAATGGAAAAAGAAGCTGCAAATATAAGTAAATTTTTTAAAGAGACTGATAATCTAGATAAAGAATCTATTGGTGTTTATATTTCTGAAAGAGAGGACTTTAACATCTCAGTATTACATCACTATACCGATCTTTTTAACTTTAGTGGTTTTACTCTAGATGGTGCCCTCCGTTATTTCCTCAGTCATTTTAGATTACCAGGTGAAGCTCAAAAAATCGATCGTATCATGGAATCATTCTCAAGAAAATACTTTGAAGATAACAAATCTGAAAAAATGGAAATTTTAGATCAAGATTCAGTTTTTGTTTTATCTTTTGCTACTATTATGTTAGCCACCGATCTTCATTCTGTTTCAATCAAAAATCACATGTCTAAACAACAATGGTTAAAAATGAACTCTAAAAGTAATGGTCCACAAAAATTAGAATATGACGAATCTTTTCTTTTAGGTATTTATGATCGTATTTCTATGGAGCCATTAAAGTTAAAAGAAGAAGAAGTCGATATCAATTCATCAGATGACCTTTCAATTAAAATTAAAAACAATTTTCCAATTGATGATCCTTCAAATAAGAATCATGTAAAGACTCCATTTGATCATGGTTTAATTTTAGAAAATTTGAAATTTATGGTTGGCGTAGGTTGGACTCCATTGTTAGCTGCTCTTAGTACAGTTTTAGAAAATACTGAGGATCCAAAAATTATTCAAGTTTGTTTAGATGGCTTTAAATATTCAATCGATTTAACATGTCTATTGGAGATGTCAACTGAACGTGAAGCTTTCATCTCTTCATTATCTAATTTTACCATTAGTGAAAAGAGTAAAGAATTAAAACAAAAGAATATGGATAGTCTACAAAAATTAATTCAAATTGCTCGCATTGATGGTAACTATCTAGAAAAAAGTTGGTTACCAATTTTAAAAGCAATTTCATTATTGGAACGTTTAAGAATATCATATTTAGGTGTAAATAATCCATCACAAGATTTACAAAACTCAATAGGTTCATCATCGTTGACATCAAATACAACATCAACCACAATATCAAACACAACATCTGTGAATCAATTACAAACCCAATCACCCCAATTACAACAAAATCAAAATGGTTTAAATAGTTCTACAAGTGGATTAAGTAATAATTTTGGTCAACAACAACAACAACAACAACCACAACAACAACCACCAAAACGTAGTATTAGCACAACCGAATTCTTTTTAGGTGTAAAAACTCATCAAAGATCCTCTTCCAATTTACCATCGATTGAAGGCATCAATATTGAACAAATCTCTAAAGAATTAGAAACTGCTAATCATTTATTTGTAAATAGTAACTCTCTTACCAATGAGGCTATTATTTATTTCACCGAATGTTTAGCTTCAGTTAGTATGGACGAAATTAAATTAACAACTCCATCAACGTTTAGTTTACAAAAACTTGTAGAGGTTGCAGTTTATAACTCTAATCGAATCAAATCAATATGGAGCATTATAGCTGAACACTTCACCAAAGTTGGTATTACTTTTCCAGATAATGTTTATATAGAATCAATGGTAATTGATTCCCTTAAACAATTGGCCCAGAAATTCCTTGATCTAGAAGAAATTAATAAAGATCAGTCACAAAAAGATTTCCTTAAACCATTAGAAACAATATTCAGTTCAAATAATCATCCAGATGTTAGGGAATTAATTTTGAAATGTATTTTCCAATTGACAAACGGTAGAAATTCATTAATTAAATCAGGTTGGCGTCCAATTTTTACAATCTTTACATTATCATCCTCTTCATCAGATCAAACAATTGCCACACAAGCATTCGATTTTGTCGATGAATTAATTCGTGATTTCTCATATATCACCGAAAGTTTTTTCATTGATTATGTAAATTGTCTCTCGAGTTATGCAAATGGTCGTCATAAAGATCTCAGTTTGAAGGCTATAGATATCCTTAGTTATTGTGGTGTACAATTAGCAAATGGTCGTGTTTGTGCTTTAGTTCGTGAAGAAGGTGCTTCTGCCAATACTCCACTCTTTACAGATTCTGAAGAACATATATCGTTGTGGTTCCCACTTTTAACTGGTTTAGCTAGAGTTATTTCCCATCCAGATCCAGAACTTCGTTCTTATGCCCTCGATACTCTTTTTAGAGTTTTAGCATTATTTGGTAGTACTTTTAGTAGTAAACTTTGGGAACTAATTTTCCGTGGCGTTTTATTACCAATCTTTGATAATGTCGGTTATTCAAAAGGTCAACATGAAACAATCTTAGAAGATACTAAATGGCTTAAACAAACTGGTAACCATGCTTTCCAATCACTCACAGAGATGTTTATAAACTTTGTGGATATTGTATGCTTCCTTTTGGATGATATGTTAGACTTATTGGTCAGTTGTATCTTACAAGAAAATGAACTATTAGCTAAAACTGCAGGTACATTTTTAATTCAACTTGTAACTACAAATGGATCAAAATTTTCAAATGTTCAATGGTCAAATATTGTATCACAATTATATAAAATTTTCCAAATTAATACACCATTTGAAATTTTTAAATTAATAGAATTTAATGAAGAGATCAAATTAAATGAAAATAATTTAAATGAAATTTTATTAAAAAACAATTTAATAAATAAATTACAACAACAACAGCAACAACAACAACATCAGTCACATTCAGCTCCAATTTCACCATTAATTGATTCTGTTCAACCTTCAATCCCTCCAATTTCACCTTTATTAAATAATAATAATCATTCAAAACCAGATAATGATATCCCACTTAGAGTTTCTTCATCATTACCATCAACTCCATTAACTTTAACACCACCAATAATTAGAAAAGAAAATAATGAAGAATTAAATAATAATAATGATGAATCAATGATTCCTTCTCCACCACAAAACTTAACAATTAATCATAATAGATCACATTCAGATTTACCAACTACACCATCAAAAAATCATAATAGAAATTCATCAATTAATTCAAATGTAAATTTTCCAACAACAATTCCACAACAACCAATTCAGCAACAACAACCAATTCAGCAACAACCAATTCAACAACAAAATACACAAAAACAATATCTTTTAAATATTATTCAATCAAAATGCTCAGTACAATTACAAATGGTTCAAGCTATTAATGATATTGCAATTTCTCACTATGAATTTTTAAATACATCACAATTATTTAGTTTGGGCGATTGTTTACATTTAACATTTACTTTTTGTCAAGATGCACTTAATGAACAACGTTTAAATGACTCTCTTAAAAGAGTTGGTCAAACTTTTGATATTCTTAAAAAGAAAGCAATTACAGGATATTTAAATCTTTTAATGATTTTATATTCAGAACAAGAAATTGATGTTTCAAATAGAACAATTCATTCCGAACACAGGTTAATAAAGTAAGTAATAAAATTATTAATGTTGATTTAAAGTATTAAAAACTAATTTTTTTTTTTTTTAGTTTATGTAAAGAATTAATTCAAATATTTATTTCAAAACCAAAAGAATCAATAGTTCAAACATCAACTATTATACAAATTCTGCAAGGTATATTATCATTTGATAATGAAAAATTCTTAAGAAATACAAGTATATATTATAATTTATTGGTACAACTTTTGCTTGAAGATGATAAAGATATAAGAACAAATTTAAGAGATATTTTATTAAGAATTGGTAAATTAAATGGAACAATAACAACTACATCAACAACAACAACATCAACAATAATAACATCAACACCAACAATAACAACAATATCAAAATAAATAAATTTTTAATATACCCAACTTTATAAAAAAAAAAAAAAAAATTATTTTTTTTGTTATAATATTACAAAAAAAAAAAAAAATAAAAAAAAAACTTATTTATATAAATCTCTAAATTTATTTTTATTTTAAATGATTTATTAATCTTTTACCATTTTTCCAAAATAAACAATAATAATCTACAATAAAATCGATAATTTAAATTATTTGTAAAATAATTTTAAAATTTTATTAATCTGGTGGTAATAAAAAAAAAAAAAGAAAGCTTTGGATAACAAAACATTACTTTATAATATTATAATTGTTTTTATTTATTCTTTTATTTCGATTTCGAAATTATCATTAATTTCTTGATCACTAAAATAATCTTCATCTATATATTCATTAAAACCATTATTATTAACCTCATTATCTTCATTTTTTATAGAATTCTCTTTATAATCTTTTTTAATATTTAAAATTTTTGTTAATTCTGAATCTTTTTTAATTGATACTATTAGACCATTTGAAGTTATAACATTACTATTTATTAATTCTAAACTTGATAATTCACAAAGTTCAAATAAAATTGTATCAATAATTGCTGTTAAAATAATTGGTGATAAATCGATAATCTTGATACTATTATCAATTGATTTTATAATTGAGACAATATAAGAAATTGAAACATTTAATCCTGCAATAGTATTTAAATTAATTTTTTCTTTGGCTGATTCTTTTTGTTTACTGTTATTTTCTAAAATTGATGAAACCCTTGATATACATTGCATACATTGTAGTGATACCACATTTGATAACTCTGGACATTCTTTGAATATGTTATTCATAATTGATTTTTGAATACTTGATGGTGTTAAAATATTTTTATTATATTGTTTTGCTTGATTAATAATTCTTTTTAAAAGATCCTCTATTAAATTTTGTAAAACCTTAATGGTTGTAGTTGAAAATTTAATTACTTGATTCCTTTCATTTGAAATAATATAAACTATTTTCTTTAATCCTTTTTTAAAATGATTATCCATTTTATTTTTTATGAAAATATTAAATCATTAATGATTTTTTGAAAAATTAAAAAAGAAAAAAATAAAAAAAAAAAATTTAAAAAAAAAAAATAAAAAAATAATTTAAAAAAATTTAAATGGGTTATAAATTTGTTGAATTTTTTTTTTAATAAATAAATAAATAAATTAAATAATTTAATTTTATTTTTAAGATTTTTTAATCATTGTTTTATAAAATTCTTATAAAATACAATTATGAATAAATATAATAATAAATATTTTGGTATAATATATTAGTTTTTGGAGGTTGGATTTCCAAAATCATCACCAGCATCAGAAGCCTCATCTTCATAAAAGACTTGAATATTATTAATTTCATATTTTGATGAAAACATTTTGTTTCTATATATATTTTTTAAATTATTATTTTTTAAATTTGAGTTATTGATTGAAGTTAATGATTCTATAAAATAAAGAAATTATTATTAATATTTAACTTTAAACAATTTTATAAATTCATTGTACTTACTGAATAATGACATTTTTAAAATAGCTTTTTAAAATTAATAAATAAATAAATATTGAATTTTTTTGGTTGTTGTTGTTGTTGAATGAATTGAATGAATGAAAAAAAACATTCTTCTATTTATACTTTTTAAAAAAAAAAAAAATTTTATTTTTAATTTTTTTTTTTTTATTGTTATTTTTTTTTTAATAGTTTAATTATTTTTTTTTATCTATTTTTCACTAATTTTACACAATATTAAATCAAAAAGGGGTACATATAATTATTTTTAAGAGTGTGTTAGTGAGTAAGTAAGGGGTGTGTTTGTTTTGGTGTATGTTAGTTTTTGTGTGTTTGTGTGGGGTATTGATTTTTTTTTTCTAACCCCAACTAACTTTTTATATTTAAAAACAAATTTGGGTAGTGGTATAAAAAATGTGGTTATTGTGGTATAAAAACTATATATCACATGATCAATTATCACTTTTAATTTAAAAATACAATTTTAACCATTACATTTCCATATTTGTACAATTTTAAAAAAACCAATCAAATTGTAAAGTTATATTTAAGTATTAAAAATTACAGAATACATTTTTTCTTTTTTATAAATCTCTTGTAAATATTAATAATTTAACAAAAAGTAGTAATGAGCTTTTAAATTTACAAAAAATTTAAAACAAAACATAAATTAATAAATGTTATTTTAATCAATTTTTTTTTACAAATTATTAAAAAATATATTTGAAGATAAAATAAAAAAAATTTAATAAAATTATGACAATCAAATAATTAAATTTTATTATTTCGAAAATTTATTAAAATAAAATTCAAATTAATTAAAATAATAATAAAAATTAATCAATGTTCAAAAATTACTCTTTTTTTTTTTTTTTTTCTTTTTTCTTTTTTATTAAATAAATTAAATATTTATTTCTTTAAAAAATTAAATAAATACATCATTGTTTTATTTAGTATTTTTAAAACTGAGTAAATTCATATTTTAATATTTTAAATTAATTAAATTTGATTTCTTTAAAATTGATAAAAAGTATTTATTTTTTTTTGAAAAATTAATTTAAAAAAAAAAAAAATTAACTTTGAATGACTTTTTAAAAATAATAAAATGAGTCACTTTATTAATAAACCTTTAACTATGACCTCCCATTACCAATCAAAAAAATTAAAAGTCGTAATGGAATAAACAATAAAA